AGGAATAAAAATTCTATTGCCTAAAATAATGTAGCATAAAATCGTTATTTTAAAATAATGCAAAGAAAAAAAATTTTTTTTTGCTGCTTACTTCGTCATGTGTTTACATTCAATTTAATTAGGAAGAAAAACAATGAAGCATGTTGTAAGTATAAAAAAGAAAAGTGTTTTTGTAGAGTAAGAACACAAAAATCGCATAAAGGCAAAAGGAAAAAGAAAGGAAGAAGGAAGACAAGGCGAAAAGGAATCAAAAAAAAAACCCGAAAGACGCACAATAATCAGAACTGTACTGCTTTGTATCAAACTCATTACTGATACCACTGAAATTACTAGCCTACTATAAAACTGTTAAAGAATGATACAGGTAAAAAATTTAGATGTAACCTTCTTTCGCTCTTCTTTGAGAATATTGGCTATCCTTCTACTTTTGACTAAAAACAGTTTCAGAACCATAACAGTAACAGCGCATAAACTGTTCTTGCAGCATAACAATATCTGCAAAACACCGTATAAAAGTGCACAACCAATACTTAAATGCCGATAAATAAGCAAGTATAAGAAATGAAAAAAAACAGTTTGTTTGTTCTCTTTTAGGTCTTTAGAACAAATAAAAAATGTTATGAAGCAATGATGGTGATATATACACGCTTATACAGAGTCGCCATCAAACTGATATTACCGATGACGACACCTGCGTAACAACGACTTGGCAACTAACTACAACTTTCTCTTTTTGTTTCTTTCAAGAATAGAAATAAAACAAGGCATAGTCACCACGGGCAATAACACTGACGGTACTACAAAATTTTGCAACAAATTAATTTTGCTCTTGTGAAAAATTTGTGACCTTTAAAAGTAATAAGCAGTCACGCAGAACAACAAAAAATATGTCATGTTTAGCTTTTTATTTCCTTCTGAACTTTCCCTTCAGTCAATATGATTCTTTTTTGCTTCATTTCTTCAAATGAAGTCTGATTTCTTGATTTTTGTGCTTACTAAATTTAGAAATTCTTAAAACGCTGTGTTAAGGTTAAGTGTTCGCAAAAGAACAAACTGTGAACCCCTGGTTGGAAAAGCTCGGTTTTAATTTTACCGAGGCCGTGAAGAGTCCCCTCAGGTCTTACTCTGCATATATAAGCTCTATAAGCAAGCTTTAGCAGGCACTCGAAGGAGAGGAAAAAAAGAAAGAATAATTTCATCTTGAACGAGCCGACGGTTTTAATGAGCTAAAAATTAGGCAGACGTCTGACTGTCAAAGATATATAAGGTGAGACCCTTAATTGCC